ATGTGTGCCCCTCTCTTTAAGATGTGCATCCCATACCCCCAAATCTGGGTTACAGTACAGCAAGAGGAGAAAGCATTCTTTACTGAGAATCTAATCCTTCACAGGGCTCTTTCAAATAGCTCCCAGCACAGCATTTTCAATTGATATGCAATGAAAATAGAGTCACCAGTGAAAACTAACTCACTTCAGCTACAGAAACACTCTTGTAAGTACTTTCTTATATTGACTCATTTAACGCTCACATCGTTCTAGGGGGAGATATTATTTGTATTCCCATTTTATAAATAAGCAAACTAAGGCCCGGAGAGGATAAGCAACATGTTCAAGGGCACACAGCTAAGAAGTTGTAAAACGGGATTCAAACCCAAGCAGTCTGACTCCAAGGGATGCACTCAAACATCATGCTATACTAGTTATCTCCTATTTGCCCTCAGTACCCGACTTCCTGCTCTGGCAGAGAACGGAGACCCTAATCATAGAGGTGTGCCAACCCCAGTGTCACATCCAAACAGGCCGCCTCTGTTGCAGCGCAAACCCCAGCAAGCTTCGTCAGTGCTAGATGAAAAGAAATCATCGTCCTTAATCATGAGACTGACAAGGACATGACATCAAGGCCGAGACCTGAGGGAAAGCTTTGACCATGAGAGATGGATTCCAGGTCTCGTGCTGGTTGGCTGTCGTTCCCACCTGCTGATACGCATAACCACTGAAGTAAGAACTGACTGACAGGGTTCCAAAGGAAAGGGGCATGTGGAGCAGGGGCGAGGGTTAGCATTCCTTGAGGACCTTTTGGACCATACAGTCTACAATGATGGTCAGGAATGCAGGTGCATGGGGGAGAAGAAATGATGCTTCATTTCTCTACAAACCCACCTGATGTCTCTGTCTAAACAACTGGCAGGGAAACACTCCGGTGATACCTGTCCCCAGAGGAGTGAACTTGCGGGAAAAGTAGTTTGCAAAGTGCAAAGGCTAACCCTGTGGGAAGCAGGGTGCCCACGTCAGAGTGAGAAGTCAGATGCCAGGGTTGACTCCCCTAAGGTCAAAATGAACGACTGCTGGCTCTCACCCGCCACGTCCACAGTGAGCAGCATCCTCACAAAACTTGGCCCCCCCAAATAAAGGGAAACTGTTAACAGTATCAGCCCTAAGTAATCCCTGCACCTGCCATTCTGCCTTGCACACCGTGTAACTTTCAACATCAGTCAAGTGTGCAGATCCCCCCACCCCCACCCCACGAGGCAGTTAAAGAAAGCAGTAAGAAAATGGAGAGAAATACCAGCAGTCTAGCCCCAGTGACAGACATTTCACTGGGTCTCCTTGTTTCGGACAAGAAATTCCCCTTGTAGATTTGGTTTTAAGTTCCCATGTCAAAGAATTATCGCTTACTCCCACCAAGCATTAAAGTCAAGGATTACAATTCTATTCCCAAGATAAGATCCTGGGAGGGAGCAGCCCCTCCTCCTTCCCCGAACTCACAACATTTCTTCTCTGACATTCGGAGACTGGAGGTTTTGGTTTCACAGCTGTTGTTGTTCTGTTCTGAGGAAGATGCAAAATTCCCAGACATGGCAGCTCTTCAGGAGATGTCTAGAAGGGACAAAAGGAATGGAAGGAAGGAAGGAAGGAGACATCCCTCAAAACACTCAGGGAAGAGGACAGGTGCAGTATAAGTGAAAGAACACGGGGCCAAGAGTAATCCCAGAACTTGTTGTTCCCAGTTAACAAGTTGGGAGGACCTTTGGAGAAGGTCCTCCCTAGCCCTGTTTCCTCATCTGTTAACTCAGTTGCACTAGAACCTTCCATGTTAAATGCTACTTAGGGGTTTACATTCACATAAATTCAATCCTTCTAATAATCCTTCAGTAAGGCATATTTTGCTACCATTGTTACTTTCCCCCATTTTACAGGTTGAAAAACTGAGTTTAATCAGTGGCTCATCCAAGTTCCTTCCTGACCTCAGATTCTAGTTTAAGAATCTGGGGAGTAGGGGTGCCTCAGTGGCTCAGTTGGTTAAGCGACTGACTTGGGCTCAGGTCAGGATCACACAGTTGATGAGTTCAAGCCCTACCTCTGGCTCTGTGCTGACAGCTCAGAGCCTGGAGCCTGCTTCGGATTCTGTGTCTCCCCCTCTCTCTGCCCCTCCCCCAATTGTGCTCTCTCTCTGCCTCTCAAAAATAAAAATAAATGAAAAAAAAAAAGATGCTGATGGTGGGGCGCCTGGGTGACTCAGTTGGTTGGGCGTCCAACTTCGGCTGGGGTCATGATCTCACTCACACTCTGTGAGTTCGAGCCCTGCGTCGGGCTCTGTGCTGACAGCTCAGAGCCTGGAGCCTGTTTCAGATTCTGGGTCTCCCTCTCTCTCTCTCTGCCCGTTGCCCCCCCTCCCCGCTTCAAAAATAAATAAACGTGGGGGAAAAAAAGAATCTGGGGGGAGTAGTGGCAGAAGTTGGGGGTGAGGTGGGTTGCAAATAGATGCAGTTCATTATCATAAAGTCACTGCAGCCCAACGGCAAGATAGACTGAAAAAAACGGGAGAAACGGGGAAATCTCAAACATGTTCCCTTAAGGAAAACTGTAACTGGACCCAGGGACAACCCTAGTACGTCACCATTTCTCCTCTGGTGTTCCCATTCGCAAGCCCTTGCTCCACACCCTCTTCCCATCCCTCCCTCGGAACGCAGTCTATATAAGGAACACGGGGGCGCAAAGAGGTGATAAATGACTTCCCCAAGGTCACCTACTGATTAAGACTCGAACTGGGGTGGGATAGCCTCGTGCTCACGCCCCACACCCAGACAAGGGGCTCGTGAGGACCGAAAGTCCTGTTGCTTCAAGAACCTTGTCACTGCCCTTCCACCAACCACACAAATGCTCCAGCCCCAACACCAGCCGCGGCTCCCGGTCCCCGAAAGTCCGCACTCTCAGCAGTGCCAGCACTTCCCCGAAACGGTAAGGCATCACCGTCCCGCACCTCATTCGGCTGCACACAGCCCCCCTCCTCCCTCCCGCCCAGGCCCTCCCGGGCACAGTACAGCTGTCGCTCACCCTGTGATCCCTCCTAAGCTCCCTCCCGGCAATGGCCCCGGCACTTTCCCCGTCACGCTGCGGACGGGAGCCGGGAGACTGTGGCCCGGGTCCCGGCACCTCCGTAGCCGGCAAATCACGTGCCCGGGTCTGGCCCCTCCACCCAGGCGTCGGTCCTCACCTGGAGAGGATCGACCAATCCGGCGCCCGCAGGCTCCAGGGGGCGGGTTCAAAGCCGAATCGCTGACGCCGGCGCTGGAAGGTGGATGAAAACTGTAAAGCCAAAAAGATCGCTAGCTCCCAAGTTTCCTCGCACTGCGGCGGTTGGTTGCATCGTTGCTAGGCAACTAATAGGGCTGGGGGCGGGGCTAATAAAAAAGCATAAGTTTTTTTCATACTCTCGCGAGAGGAAACGAAGGGGACGTCTTCGGAGGTTGTGACTTTTTGGTGATGGGGAAATGTTGCGCAGATTAACGCTTTCCTCCCTGAATCCCAGAGGGACCTCGCTTAGATCCGTAAATTGGAACGTAAACTCTAGAAGGTGCTTTGCTAAAGTAAGCTACCACTGTCCTTGAGCTGATTACACCGTAGGGGGTTTGTATATCCTTCCCATAGGCCAGACACTGTAACCTAAGAAAATCAACTACTCTTCTGTCATTGCTGAACCAGGAGCTTCCCTGGACCTTCCACATACTCCAGTGGTCTCCCTTCTGCCTCCTATGCTATACCACCTGGTCTGGTTGTCTTGAAGACCCAAAGAGGAAAATTGCTCCCGCAAAAATATTGGGTTACAAAAGTGAAGAGGCAAAGCTTCCATATAACTTATTCGGAGGTATTTAGAGTAGAGGTGAGTTTGTACATTTCAAGGGAACTTTTCACAGTTGCTCCCAGGCCTTTCTGATGCTTGATTCTGTTGATAAACTCACTCTACGCAGGCTAGGGCGTGCTGCTCCAGGACGGAAAAAGAACAAGGAATAGAGATTTCTTGGAAAGGAGATAAATTCAGAGATGTCTTTATTCCTGGGGATAAAATTCATCCTTCAAAATAGCTCAACTAGCGCCTCCTTTTTGAGGCTTTTTACAACAACCAGTATAACTGCCTTATCTGTACCAATACCACTCTATGCATTCAGCAAGTGTTTGTTGAACGCTTGTTTGGTGAGGCACAGTCCTTGGTTCTAGGGATACAGGGTTGCCAAAGGTCACATAATCTAGCATTACCACGTGGCTGTGAAATTCGGTGGGTATGTGCCCTTTACACCCCACCCTCTCTCCTGATTACAGTGAGTATTTGCAACGCTGAAGGCAGGAATGGAGTCGTCTTCATATCTCTATACCCAGAGCCTGAACTGGAATCCGAATGACAAACATTCCTTCCTCTTCCTTAAACTGCTACCACCCACGTGTAGCAATTGCCCTAGGCCCAGATGATGACCTCATACTGCGCTTTCTGATGTGGCAAATGGACATTTTCAAGTTACAGCGTCGAGGTGGCCAGGCCAGTTGTCTGGCTCCCTTAACCTCAATGAGTCAATGTTTGCTGCAGCCACGAGCCTAGTCACGAGTGTCTGATTGTTTTTTGACAGGTATTTTGACTCACTGACCATTCTTGGTATTCATTTGCGTTCTGAACTATGACTCTATTTCTCCCGGTGTAGTTTGGAAGCCCCAATTTACTAATTTCCGACCTCACTCACTGCAAGGTTACATTCCAATGTACCCGATTCAGGAACTCCTTCCTCCGCCCTCTTTCCTTGAGCATATATGCTGCCAACGCAGAAGGCACCTCACTCGTTCGACAGGTAGCAAAGCCACTTGTACTGGAGTAACAGGGATAAATCTTCATCCTTTGGCTCCTGCAGGGTTGGCGGCAGAGAATTAGTTGTCACTTTAAGAGAGTTCGCGCATCTTAAAGTGCTAAAGCTTAAGCTACACCAAAGTATCGCGAGAACTAGCCACTGCGCTTTCTCGCGATGTTTGGCCCTGCAAAGGGTGGCCATTTTGGAGTCCACCCGGCGGCTGGTAGCCCCGGCGGCGTTTGCCAACCCGCTGCCGGGACCAAAGCTGGCCCCACGGGTGTCTGGCCTGCGGGCAGCCGGACCGACACGATGTGGCGGCTCCGCTGCAAGGCCAAGGACGGCACCCATGTTTTGCAGGGGTTGTCCAGCCGGACCCGAGTGCGGGAACTCCAGGGCCAAATTGCCGCCATCACCGGCATCGCCCCCGGCTGTCAGCGAATCCTCGTAGGATACCCGCCCGAATGCCTGGATCTCAGCAACGAGGATACCATTCTTGGGGATTTGCCCATCCAGTCAGGTAGGGAATCGAGGTTGGGGCCAGGGAAAGTCCTGGGAGGACGGAGAGGGGCGTGGGGGGAAACAGCTGATCCAGGCAAGGTAGCTGTGGGTCTGTTGGGGGTTTTGAGGACAGGGCTAAGGATAAATTAAGGAACGGAGAACTCTGACGGAGGCCGGGGCAAGTATCTAGCAACTCTTCGCCCACATACCTGGTTGAAAGAGGGAGGGAGGGCCCAACCCGTGAGAGAAGCCCAAAGCCTCGGGGTCCCCCCTTCCTCAATGTGCTTTCTGGTCTGCCTCGAAAACGTCTCATTCATTTTGTTTTTTTCTGAGTCCACAAACATCCAAAAAAATAATAATAATAAGGCCTATTTTCTCTATCCTGATGGCTTTTTCTCCTCTATCTCTCTAAAAAAAAAGAGCAGGTCTGAAGGATGCAGAATACTTTTTTTCGCTTTCCTGGTTGGTGTTTGCAGTCACCTTCACGTAGAGTTCGTTGTACTCATTTGAGAGTATGCTTTTACACATCCACCGAAGGCCCTTTCAAATTCTAAACAACAGCAGTTATTTCTGTCCGCTATTAAAACTTGAACAGCAATATTGACCATTAAAAGCTTTCAGCTGTTGTGTCAAGGATCCTGTAAACACTAAACTGGGTAGATAAAATGTTAAGCTTCAGAGGACAAGAACCCCCCTAGTGGCCTAGTCTTGGGTAAACACCTTTTGGAAGACGAGTGCTTTTAAAATGCAGAGCGGGAGCATAAGGAAATTTTGTTGTTGAAGTGTATCTTTTCATGTAAGTATAAAGGTGTATAACCAGGGCTCCTTAATTGGAATGCCCCCTCAAATGTTTTTCCCTTTGGTCTGTTTTCGTCTTTATGAAGACTGAGGAACAAGAGGTGTTACCGATCACTTGTTTGCAAAGCTGTATTCTCCCCAGTAACCCAGTTTATCTTTTTTTCTTTTTTTAACTCTTCCTGTTCGTAATTTGCAAACTTGGCTATGAACAACGGATTTCATCTATAATGTCTCTGCAGTTCTGGCTTTGTTTTATTTTTAACAGGCGACATGCTGATCGTTGAAGAAGACCAAACCAGGCCCAAAACTTCACCTGCATTTACAAAACATGGTGCTCCTAGTTATGTCAGGGAAACTTTGCCCGTGCTTAGCAGAACTGTGGTCCCGGCAGACAACTCTTGCCTCTTTACCAGTGTATACTATGTTGTAGAAGGAGGAGTCTTGAATCCAGCTTGCGCCCCAGAGATGAGACGCCTCATAGCACAAATTGTAGCAAGTGATCCAGACTTCTATAGTGAGGCAATACTGGGAAAAACAAATCAAGAGTACTGTGACTGGATCAAAAGGGATGACACTTGGGGAGGAGCTATCGAGATATCAATTTTGTCCAAATTTTACCAGTGCGAAATCTGTGTGGTGGATACACAGACAGTAAGAATTGATCGTTTTGGAGAAGATGCAGGATATACCAAAAGGGTCCTGCTTATTTACGATGGCATCCACTATGACCCGCTTCAGCGTGTCTTCCCTGACCCAGACACCCCGCCTCTGACCATTTTCTCCTCTAACGATGATATTGTTCTTGTACAAGCACTGGAATTAGCAGACGAAGCTAGAAGAAAGAGACAGTTCACTGACGTAAACCGCTTCACCCTGAGATGCATGGTGTGTCAGAAGGGATTAGTCGGACAAGCAGAAGCAAGGGACCACGCCAAGGAGACAGGCCATACCAACTTTGGAGAAGTGTGATCTATGCATGATGAGGACTGCCGCCTACTACCTCACAGATCCAGAAGGCTCTGGGTTTTCCAATAAGCTATTCGTACCCCTAAAGAACAAAGGAACACAGTGTTCGAACCATCTTTTTTAACTTAAAACCACTAAGACCCTGAAATTCCTTGTCAAGATTAAAAATGAGTGTGCAAGTTTACAGATGTGTGTCTCCAGTGGTGATACATGCCCTTTTTCTGCTGGGGTGACAGACCAGGTGGTCCTTGCCACTTACTGACACTCACTGGAAGATTGAGTCCTAGTATTATAAGCTAGCACCCAGCAGCTTTAACTTGTAGAAGAAAACAACTGCGTATGTTGGGTAATGCGGAAGGCCTCACATGAGGCCACTGGACATCGACCACAGTGTCTCCATAATTGAGTCCTTTTAAAAACTCTGGAGTAATAATTTTCTAAATTGTGCATCGATTCCTCAAATGAAGATACACAGAGTTGTCAAAACTGATTTTATATTGCAATTTGGTAGACTTTATAAATGTGTACTTAACCAGTTATAAGTACATTACAAGCAATTTTTACAGGGATGAGTCTGTTCCTTGAGAATGTTACCTAAGGAACTGGTAGTACCCAATTTAGGATTTCTAGTGTATAAAAGGAGAATGTATGAGGGAACAGGTGCCTGAGCAGCTTACTAAAGCTTTAAAAGACCGTTGGCCTCGTGTTTTAATGCAACTCATTTATTGATGTTTGTCACATTGGATAAGAATTTTTAATTAAGCAGGGTATTTATTTGTAATTGAAGTTTCTTGTATTTTGAGTGCTTGATTTTTTTTTTTTTTTTAATGATTTATCTGGAGGGATTCACTCTCCTCAGCTTTTTCTCCAACTCCTAAACAGTCTTCATCTAAAGGGATAATGCTATGCTTTGATTTGATTTTTGTGAGATCTTTTCTTACCTACACAGTACTTACTTTCATGCGAGCCTTATCTGACCACTAATGCTCTTTTGAATAATTTCACATTTCCGCAAATTAGCACTTTGCTTATCTACTATCTTTTACTTTGACTTTTGAAGAGTTTTAAAGTAGCGGGATAGTAATGTTGAATGAATTTGTTTCACTTCCAAAATATGACCGTTTTTAAATCCTTGCCTTATTCAGCTTTTCTCGGAATTCTGCTTCCTAATATTAGATGTGTACTCTTTTGCTTGGTGGGCTGACCTGCGAGGCACACCCTCTAAAATTAGCTTCACCATGAGATCTTCCAGATAAAAGTTTCCTACCTCTTTTCTTAATTCTTCTGAAGATCAGGGATGCTAAATTATAATTTGTTATGTATTATCTCACAAAATGTGAAGAGGTTTAATGTTGTGACGCTTTGTTATCTTGGTCTCATTTTTGATGAAGTGTCTCACTTAGAATACCAATGGAATATTTTAAAGCACTTCTGTCTCTTTCAGCTTCTCTTCTTGGCAAATGTTTTAAAATTGAGATTTACTTTTAGCACTTCACTTGGTGGAGGTGGCCATATAAAATTAGGAACATGGAAACAATTCAGTGGACAAGTTCCTTTAAGGAAGAATTCACAAAGTATGCTTGAAATCATTAGGTGACCTTTCTTGAGTACCTTTTTTGTGAATAACTACTTTAGGCATTGTAAATTATGGTCAGTATAACTTAAATTAAGTGTTGAATTTTCTATTTTACTGAGCCTTAAAATAGCACTTGTGAGCTTGAGATACTTAATGTTTGGCAATCATACGACGTACAAATGAATATGTTTGAAGATCTCTTTGCACCTGGCTGTCATCTTGGTCTAAAGATTTTTGTATCTCTCATTTCCCCAGAAAATAAGTTTAAAACTAGAAGTTACGAGAATACCCACTGGGTAGCATCCATCAAGTTGAGCTTTACACATCACCATTCATAAAGCTTGCCTTCTTAGGTATTTCAGAAGCCAAATTTGACATTTGCTTACTGGGATTTTAGACAGGCTTATTCATGCAATAAATATTTATTGAGTAATTTATAATATCCCAGGCATGTATTGATATGTGTCCCAGCATAAAATTCTGTCACTTTAAGATGGAGTGTTATCTTATCTATGTTGGATTAACTTAACAAATAGAAAGAGATAGAACCTGATAGTTCATAAAATTAAACCCCTTCATTTTTAAGTGTTTTTGTTTGCATATTTAAGCTCATGCTCTTATACAAAGCAAGTGTCAAGTATTTATTCCGGGGATCTTACTCTATTTTACCTGTTACATAGGTTGTCCATTCACCACTGGACACTGATCACTCTGTCAAATTGCTGTCAATAATGAGTTATAAATTAACCAGTTGCTGAAATTCAGCACTAGGACTTGAATGTTCTGATCATGGAAAATCCAAGATGATGCATTATTTGCGGACAGTTTGTTTTAGTTATGGAGGAGTAAAAACCCAAACTTGTGCTCATTCTAAACTCAAGCTTGTAAACCTCACAGAATTTAAAGTTGTTTTTTTGGTTTTTTGTTGTTTGTTTGTTTTTTTTAACTGCACTTATTGAACTCTTAAAATCAGTTTTGGGTGTTGTTGTTTTTTCACTGTTTTATTTATTTTTGAGAGAGGGAGATAGGATCTAAAGCGGGCTCCACGCTGACATTCGTGTGTCCGATGTGGGGCTTGAACTCTTGAACCGGGAGATCATGACCTGAGCCAAAGTTGGACACTCAACCAACTGAGCCACCCAGGTGCCCCTTGAAATTAGTTTATAAATGTGTATAAATTCTAATCTTCAGAATTTTGAAAACCTATGGGTTTTAGTACTTGCAACAGGATCAAAAGAAACTTTCTCTTCAATTTGCACGTGAGCGGAATAAAACCCTTCTTCCTCTTTATTCAGTTTTTGACTGCCATTCAAGAATATCTTTTTAATTAAAATGAGGATAGTTTACCTTCGTGGCTGAATGAATGAGGACTGTGCTTTCCTGTCCCCCACCCCTTTCTCTTATTCTTCTTTCCCTTATTCTTCTTTGGATTTAGAGATTCGGTGTGGGAGCATGAAGATGCACTTCTGGATAGAGTGATTTCAGAAATAAAAATGAATACCCCTAGGGATTTGGGGATGGGATAGCCATAGAAAGACATCAGGGTGGCACATCTTGTGTTAATCATTCCTAGTTGATTTCTTATGTCCCAGGAATGAAAAATGGGCACAGTCGAGTGGTACCCTTGAAAGTTTGGCTGCTGGTCAGCGTGACCCTTTTGACAAAACTAATTTAATCATGCCAGTTGATTACTCCACGCTCAAGTCCCAGCAAAGTCATAATCAGGAATGCGTTAATGTATTGTCTCTCTATAAATGCCCCTAAGTGCCCACGCCTAATTTACTTATCCAGCATATTCTTTCTATCCTACGTAGGCATTAATTGAAACATGTATGTTGCAAGTTGCCATAACTAAACGTAGTTTTTTGTCTTTTCTTTTTAATTAGAATGGGGAGTATGTAAAATGAGAGTAATTTTTGTTCTTTATGGATCAGGTGGCCTTCCTAAACTTTCATATGTTAAGATTTATGTTCTTTCATGTGTTGAGACACACTTGTTATTATTTGCAGCACTTTAAAAGATAGGAAGTAAAAGTTTACATGTTTGCCCTCTCCAGGGTTCTTGTTAAAGACATTAAAATATAATTCTTGAGCTGCTAATGGTCAGCTCTTAACATTGCCATCAGTGTATGCTGTATCCATCCAGTGGTACAGCATTCTGATGTTTTGATAACAGTGCAACTTGATGTCCGTCACTTGGGAGCATGCTGTGTGGCCTAGCATTCAGAAAGTTACCTGTTTCTATAATGTGATTGTTCTTTATCATTCATTGTACGGTGCAGTATTCAAATTTATCCTTGTAGCACAAAGAGGACTATACCAACTTAGAAAAGATTAGAATCTTAAAACTCTTCATTTGTTGCTAAGCAAACTTATTTTACGGGAGCTGATTTTTTAGCCTTAAATGTATCATTTTTAAGTCTAAAGTGAAACACTTCATTTGAATAAGCTGGTTCATTAACCAGAGATGTTTCCAGATTAAGAGTTACAATATTTCAACACATGTAATTCGTCTTAGAAAGATTATAAAAGTTGCCTGATTGTGGGAATGGGTTTTATTTTTTTTTCTTTTCCAAAAATTAACTGGCATTTTGTTTACAGTGCTTTGAATATTTGACTTTGAAGAAACTACATTGATATTGAATTGTGGGGTGCTGATTTAGGTAGGTCTTGGTCCATATGAATTTAAAAGAGATTGCTATTTTAGATTAAAAAGAAAGGGGGATAAAGTACCACTTATCACAGAAGAGATCCCCAAGTGAATCCTTTCCTTAGTTGTGAATTATGCTTTTTGAAAAAATTTTCAAGCAATGCCTTTGTGTCATCCCAACCCTCCTCACCCATTTCTTGGCATAGAATGTAGCAGGGCCATAACTGAGAAGTTTGTCATTAATGTATAAAACCATGAATATGAGCATTTTGCTATGATGCCTTTTTATACTTGTTTTTTAAAAATATCCTACATGTAGTAGTTTAGGGATGTGAAGATACGATTTGGTTAAGTAGTAGGTAACAGGCTAACCTAAGAAAGGTTTAGAATTTCTACTAAGATTACATGAGACTGACTTTATACATGGTATAGGATCTGTAGTTCGTTGTCGCCCATAAGTTACTGAAAAGGACCAGGGCACCTAATTCTTGGCAGTTTTCCATTTCACCTTGGTGCCATTCATGACTCAAGCTGTTTACAAGCTGTTTAGCAAAGAGTAATTTTTCCCCCATTACAGAAGTATTCAGCTGAAAATGCGGACTCAACATGTATAGCTTGTCAAAAGGGATAGAGAATGATAATAGTCCTGTATTTCCTGTATTAATGGAGTAGAGGTGGAGATTCCTGAAGCAAGAAGGAAACCACAAGATTGTCAAATTTAGAGCTTAGAACATGACTTGAAAAAAGTAGCAGGAAAGGGCAAACAGAAGAGTTTGTTTCTTGGCATATTTTTGTTCATTAAGATGGACAGTGTTTTCTTAAAAATGTTCTTTTGTCTGTTTGCCAGCATTTTTTTTTTTTTTTTAAGTTAATGCACTGCTGCTACCTGGGAGATGTCTGATTTCATTTTGTACAACTCTTATGTGATTTTGCCATTGTCATTAAGATGAATTGATTTTATTTATGAGGTCCATGATTTTAAGTATCTAAATGCTGTATGAAGTGACTTGTTTTGAAGGAATAAATGAACTGAAAATATTGTTGTCTGAGCATATTTTGGGGTGAGTGCAGCGGGCCGGTGGACAGCCATGACACCCAAGTTGCATGTTTATTACCAAAAGCTGGTAATAGTCCACTGCTTTGAGGAGGGTGCCAACATCTGCTGAATCTCACTCTGTGGGTGGAATCTTAATGACTTTGACCGGAGAAACTAAAATGTTTCTTCTTAACACCAGAGGGCGTTTGAAATTTTCCTTCCTTGATTTCCCAAATTTTCTGGTATGCAATCAGCTCCTGAAAGTTGTTAATTCAGTGTCTGTTGCTGAGCAATTGTGGGAAGGCTAAAATGTTCCCTTTCCACTTGTCATAGACTGAGATCTACACTGCAGCATCCCTGTGGGAGAATTTATT